CAAATGCCCATTCAAGGGGAACAGTGGACGTCAGTGTTTGCTCTGCGAACAGAGGCTGAAGTGACTCCTTTCACTGAAACGCTCATCAACAAACACACTTAACGGTTAAACATTCAAATCACACCAGAAAGGCTTACAATAAAAAATATTTTATTCTCCTTCTACCATGTGAGGAGATGCTTTACACAGATGGGTCGTGATCTGATATGATTCATACATCAAGTAGTAAGAACCATTCATGCACTGCAATCACACACAGACACAAACACACTTCACACACCATCATGACTCACACACACTCTTGATCCTTCATTTATAAATATGCAGTTATGTTCCTGTATTGAATGTCCTCCCATAGTGAGGTTGGACTAATCTCAGGTTTGTGCCTCTCATGAACAACCAGCACATTTAGGTCTCAGCTGAGGTAAGACTATTTTCCTGAACCATAAATGCCTCGCAACGCAGTAACAATATTCTCTTCTCAGGTTCGTAAAGACGTTTTGGGACCATCTGGATTGAAACATATTCTATCCACAGCATGATAAAGAATCCTGCACACTGTCCATCACTTGTCTTCAACTAATAATAAGTTTGATCAACATAAAGTGTGAAACTAATTCAGTAGGAAATTTGCTCCTGTGTCAAGAGGTTTTGACCTAACACATAGATTTTGTGCTTCGCAAGACCGTCAATTTCCCAGGTTTGATCAAATTGGACAGAAGTTGCAACTCTAATTGAATCCCTGGTAACAAGAAATGTATACTCATAGAATGTAGACACATTATTGTGAAAACCAACTGTCTATATCAACAAGCATTTTTGTTTTTAAATTTTAGTTTGTATGTAACAATGATACATGAGAGGCAAAAACCAGAGATTGAGAGGTTGAACTTAACATTTGTCCGGGACTTCAGAACAGATAGAGTTGTTCGATACACATAGTTGATTACACAGCACACAGCGTTTTCACAGCATCAACAGTCAGACTTTTTGTAGCACATAGGTTTTTTTCCAGAGCCTCTTCTAATATTTAAAGCCAGCAGCAGCCAACCGCACCAAACAATGCCAACAACAACCTTTACGGCACAAACCTGCTTTTAGCTTTTGCTCAGCTCCAGATTTCACTGCTTTCACATGAATACTCCATCCTGTTTCTTGTCATTTAGATTTGACAGTTTTACATGCATACATGTAATTTTAACTTTTCATACCACTCTTGAGATAACAATGAAAAACTGAAAAATATGTTCAGTTGATGCTGGTGTCACACACCATGAAGTTAAAATGAGACCAAGCACACAGTCGCACTTCACTGAGACATTTCCGTAGTTCACAGTTTCCAATGTAAAAATTGCTATAAGCCGATGTTGATGAAATGATAATCTGAGGCTGCATGCTTGAACGATGAGTGTATACACGTACTGTACAGGAAAGCTTTTAAAATCACTTTAAAAAGAAATATCTGCTGAACCCGTCTGGCTTGGCGATCACTTCAAATAACACTTCAGTCTTAACGATCAGGCACTGTTTAGCATCAGTGCTTTGATGTAACAATATCAACACAAATGTCATGACACTAAAACCTCCAAACTATTGACTGTGTCCAAACTGTTTGACCTGAAGGTGCTGTCACTGCTGCCATATTCATCGTGTTGAACATATGAGCTCATCACAAAAACTCAGTTAAATAAGTGTTGGTGTCTGCAGATCGACTTTATGATTGATTGATGTGTTTTTGTGACGATGAGTCTTAATCCTGTAGCTAAACACAGTTGATTTTAGGAAGAAGGTCTAAGATTTTTCATAAAAACTTCATTTGAAATATTATTATTTGTGAAACATCTGAAAATAAAAAAATTGAAAAATTGACACGTTTTTTGTTCTGTCTAAAAACGACTCCTCGCAATATTTTTTAATTGTGCTTTTGAACACACTCGCACAGTCCAGCTGTCACGTCTCTACCATCACACATACACACACTGGTGCTGCGCTCCAGCTGTGTACGCCACTTTTCTGCATTGCCGTCACCAATGACCATTTCTGCAGGTTGCCCTGACGACTGCGACTCATACTCAGAGTCTACCTGAAATGGAACTGGACCAGCTGGAAACATCTGAAGCAGCCTCTGTTGCTTGTAGTAACAGCTTGATGCCTTGGCTGGTTTTTTTTCAGTAATAAATAAATAAATACTCCTGCGGTCAGGTGCACAAGGATAAGTCCGCTCTGAGCACGCTCCATGACCCGTGTCTGATCCCTGAACCTTGCTGTGTTTCCAGGACACTGGCTTGTTCCTGTGGCCGTCAGTCTATTCTGTTGCCACAGATGGTGAAGCGGTCTATCTCTAGCAAGTCTTTCTTGGGCGTTCTGGCTTTGAGTCCATCTCCTTCCAGTCCTGTGTCAGTGTTGATGATCTTGTCATCATCCTCTTCGTCAGGCGTCGTCAGGAATGTGTCTGAGTCGCTCTTGGGAATGGTGGGGGCAGAGCTCTCAGCAGTGGTGTTGGGCTGAGAATTGTCTGATGCCAGAGGTGTTCCTCCTTTGTCTGCAGTGGATTCTGTATTTGAGGGAGACAGAGTTTAATTTAATGAGAAACTTAAGGAGTAGCCTGACAATGAATAGTTTTTGAAGCAGTGGATTATCTGTTTTGCCACAAACAGCTGCAACGTGTTGACTGGCAAGACAGAGGGGACGGTGGAGCAACAATGGTCAGTGGTTGTGGATAAATCAGGTTTGAACACACATCTTGAAGGGAGCATGTTCAGGCTAAATCCGGTTATTAAGTTGCTATTTAATGTACAATTAAGCAACAAAGAGAGAAAGAGGTATACTGATTGCTACCTTGCTGAGGTGACGTGTGAACGTGTTTGGTGCGGTTAGCTCTGGAGTTTACTCGGCTGGAGACGGCAGAAGGTGGAGGGTCGAAGAGCTTTTCTTCCATATTAGCCTCTTTGACAAACACACAAGACGTTCCGAGCAGAACAATACTGTTGAGCACTTTGAGAGTGATCATCCTGTTAACAAACACACAAACATGACATGAAATGCAGAACTAATAAAACTTTGAATGCTTGTTAACAACTTGGAAAAGACAAACTGACTCTTACCCCAAGTAAAACAGCAACACACACATAAAGGAGAGTGACCCCTGGATTTTCACTGAGCTTGTTACTACTCTGATCAACTGGGGGAAAAACACAAACCTTAGATTTAAACTGTGTACAATGAACACTGTGTTAATGGCAAAGGTTCTTCATAGAGAGTGACTGACCAGCAGAGCTAAGGGAAGCGGGATAAAGCCCATTCTCCTGGACACAGAGTCACTGTAGTCTGTGTAAGCCTGAGGACAGAAAAACATCAAAAGCAGTTTTATTCTACTTTTTCAACCAATGTATCGGTCCAACATTTTTACATTCAATCATCATCTAATAAGGAAATATAAGTGGACATATCCTTAACACTGTCAAATGTTCAGTCTGAGACTAAATATATTTAGCTTATGATTTAATCTAATAATTAATAAAGTAAAAAATCTCCAGACCATGGATTCAAATTAATTTGTCTACAATTAGTTTGTACCATGTTAACTATTCCTTCAGTATCTCCAGTTATATTTGGCCACAGTGGGGAACAAATCAACCAACCAGTCAAGTTACAGTTTACATCCATTTCTGTCCAGATGTAGTGAAGTCATTTAATGTAACAGTATGAAGTGTATTCTACCATTTTTATTCATATGCACTGAGCTCTTTTGAAATATTGCGTTTAAAGAGAAGGGGACGGACGTATGGATGGAGAGAACCTTGATAAATCAGTTTATTCTTTGGTGGGAACACTTCAAAGGTGCTTCAGAAATTGGTTTTACAGTTTGGTTGAGAAAAAGCTGATGCTTAAGTTTATTTTGCTCACATTTTTCTGTCGACTGCTGACAAGGTCAAAGGCAAGGCTGGCTCGGTACTCTCCGTATACCTGGGGGGAAAACACAGGGTAACAAAACCCTCATAAACCAAATTAGACCAATCTACATATCAAGCACACATGACATAGAATGAGCAGAAGGTATCCAGACAACAAAGAGTAGAGGTGACAAATAAACGGTTTCCGAAACTAAAGTTCCCTGTTGGAGTCTCATAATAATCTGTTGATTAGTTGTAGTGGATAAATGTAAGAGTAAAGATGTGGGTAGTGAAGATGAGTCAAAGTCAACATCAGTTAAATTTTGTGTAAAAAGACAAAGACTAAAATGAGTTAACATGGATTAAATGAGAACGAGCTTCACCAGTGGTCCAAAGCTAACTATAGGTGAGTGAGGTTTGTGGGATGAGGATTGACAGTTTGGAGATAAAGGGGTTAATCCCTTCCTGGGGCTTTGGTTTCCATTACATAACCGTGGTTACAACTCCTTGAAGGAAATCAAAGAGGGCGAGAACACAAGAGGGAAGGAGACGGGAAGTAAACAAGGTCGTGAGTTTTCCTCTAGTACTACAGAGTATCTGGTGTGAGTGGGACGGTGTGAGAATAAGAGAAATGTGTGTAGGTCAGTGGAGCAGGACAGGGAGACAGAGGAATTCAATTTAAGTCAATTGAGCCACAACTTTCCTTCGTGATCTATGAAAAAGTAGGACATGATAATTCTAACTCAAGGTCCATGTTTTCCTGAGCTTTCAACTGCATCTCTGTCTTCATGAGTGGAGAGTTTGCTCAGTGTCCAGCACACACCAAAACAAATCAGTTTCATTATTAGGTGACAACACTAGCTACTAACTGACATTTTTTCGATGCAGTCTCACTTACACTTTCTTACGAGGGATGATTAGTAAGTTCATGGCCTATAGTAGAAGAAGTCAATACAGAAAACCTAGTACAGTTAACACTCCCCTTCTACATTTACAAGAGTAGAGGGTTATATACTCAATATTTCAATAATGTCCTGTCAACATGGTTTTTATATTGCTGGAACACTGTCAGTGTCTTCTATTCATTTAAATACAGATATTCTACAGGTGTTAAAAACAGAATCCTTTTCATATAAATTGTCCCTAAGAGTCAAAGATGTACAACTAACATGAATATTTATGGCATTTTTAAGTATACCAACTTATTTGTGATAAGTTTATTACACCTGGCTCATAAATGTGACTCTGCTAAAAGCCTTTAAATTTATTCAGAAAAAAGGAGGTAAAGGCTAATTAACTGAGGAAACCTCATCCATGGATGAAGACTTTAAAAAGGACTTAGAATTCAATAAATCTGGTCAAATATATACACAACTCGCACCACAACAAAGCTGAGAAAGTGCTCTATGTAATACTGTGGTGAAAGGACTCACATCAGCGCTGATGTCGTTGAATTTGGTGATGAAAGCGTGCTTGACAACATCCACGGCAACTTCTGAGGCGATCACCATGACTACATCAGGAAACAGCACCCACAGGTGGTCTAAGAACGAACACATGAGAAATGTTTCAATATTCAAAGCAATACTAATTATTACTTAATTTAAATGAGTCAGGGACATTTGAATGCTGAAGGAAAGTGAAGAGGCGAGGATGAACCAATGATGGATCTATAAACCCATGTGTTCACATACATAGATAAAGAAGGCTTCAGTATTTGTTCAGCACTGTGTTAGTTACCAGGGTTCCATGAAAACTGCTCCATGTTTCTCAGACAAACGATGAGCAGGAGGATGTAGTTGGTGAACCTCTCCTTTATGTCTGTGGGAAACAAACAAATCAATCCAGGATTAACCTACTTTGTGCTCACAGCGGCGGAGTTTGATTCCATAAATTTTCCTCGCACTAAATCACCAAGTTTAAAGGCCGAGGTACAAAATGTCCCAAAAAAATGCTGGTGTGTGCGGCACACATGTGGCTCTTTTTTCATTTCATTAAGCACTTACCACTGTTTGACATCTGGAAGAGGTTGTTCTTTTCAAACTTCTTAAACACACTTCCCTTAATCTCCACAAACTGTAAGGAAAAAGCCAGAAATATCATGACAGCATCCAGAACTCCTGCTGCGCTGCATTCACTTTCAACTGCGTTAATATGCCTGTGAGCATCAGACTCACGTTGTTTGACATCATGATGGTGAGCAGAGACTTGTTGTGGGAGTTGAAGGCTACATTGAGAGTTGTGGCCTGAACCATGATGAGGATGGCATGAAGAACTTGGTACAAACATGTTAAGGAAGAACCACACTGAGGACTACAGTAAAAACATTGGACTGTGTTTTTCAGTCTGATCATAGACTTCAATAAAGACGGACGACATATCTCCACTTCCTCCCAGTATCCAGAAATGAGGCCGAGAAAAAGTGACCACTTATACTGAAACTGGCTGACACACTAAATATACATATGTAGATACTACCTTAAACTAATTTGGCAAGTAAGAGACTTGTTTGTCATCTATGGCCAAATCCTTTTTCCTTTTGTCTGCCATTCATTATCTAAAATGAACTGGACAAGCTATTTGTTAGAAATAAAGTACAGAAAAAAACATTATTAAAGTACTTTACTTTCATGTTAACTGACTAAATGTTTTTTTTTAAAATATATATAAACCCTCAACAGCAACAACAGGTCTTTCTCAGTGAGGATACAGACGTAGAGCACGGCCATGAGGAAGTGAGGAATCACACCTATGTGCGCTCTCTTCTTCTCCTTGGGTTCAGTGGCCGTCCAGTACAGAGCATCCAGGATGTCCTGACCAAATGAGGAGAACAGGCGATCGGCCACCTGACAACACAACAAGGGAAGTAAATGAGTGGGCGGCTCAAATTTACACTACAGTGGAATCAGAGTTCATTAAAATCTGCGTTATGAACTTGCAGATGTATTCTGCAGGTGTACCTCTAACATGTTGTAGATGATGTACAGTTTGATGACAGACTGTCCCCTGATGAGGTGGTACATCATGGCGTAATCCACGTAGCTCATCATTGAGTAACACAACACCATAATGAAGCCTTTCAGGACATCACATACCTGTGCTGGCTGCAGCAGGCGGGAGCCACTAAAATACACACAGGAAAGAACGTACTCAAAATCACATGCTGTCTGAGTCAGGCAGAGCTCCACTGCCCTCTGCAGGTCAAAAACAATAGTGCAGTGGCTGTTTCTGTCCTGAGAAGCTGTTTGTCAGATATGTGAGGATTTGTCAAGTGTACCAGTCCACTGCAGAAACTAAAGTCTATTTTCATCTGCGATAAAACTCTCAAATATTTTTCAATCATATTTGATTGTTTGGGCTATAAAATTAAGAAAGTGTGTGAATGGTCATCAGAATTTTGCAGAACACCAGGTTTTTTTCTGATCATCCGCCCAAAGATATTCAAATTAAACAGATAATGAGATTAAGAATTTCAAATTGTAGTTAGTACAGAGGTTCAAACACATCCAGAAGCATACACTCTATTTTAGTAGGGGAACTACAGTAGAGATAAATATCTTAAATGCAGATTTAATGTATATAATGCTTTGGTAAAAGCTAGTTTGTAATGATGGTGCACTGGCTTTAATTTCCTGTTAAAGTATACCTGACACAATTCAATGAAGACAAATTGTCAATTGTTTGAACAAAGCTTATACACAGGGAAAGCTTTTAATGATTAATCGAATACTGATCATCAGTTTGGCCAAAGATCAATTGATGAACTGCTTAAACATCTGCTGACTAACTTCTGTGTGAACTTTACCTGAGGCCACAGCATGGCAGCGTGAGGAGCCGTAAAAGGGCCAGAATTACTCTGAGGGGCAACAACGTGAACACATAGAGAAAGGCGTCCAGACACAGGAAGAAGCCAAATGTCATCAACTATAAAGAGAAAGAGTGAAAAGCATTTATTTATTTTATGTCATCATTTTATTATTTCCCAGAGTTAATGTTTTGTGAATTTACCTTCTCCAGCTCTTTGGGGATACGTAGGCAGGTGTACACCCGCTCTCTGCGTTCTGTGTATTTGGCCTCATTGTGTTCCAGGAAATAGCCTCTGGTGAGCTCTGTAGTTATAAATCTGACCAGAGACAGGTCTACATACATAAGGACAGAGGAAAATCAGAGCAAAGTTACATTCAGACAATATAAACTAAATCACCTGACTAAAGTCAGTGAACTTTATGCTCCAACATTCTCCAGCCCCTACACACCTGATACAAATAACAACCACACTTAAATCTTTAATGGATTCAATCAGATATAATAGTGGTGGACTGTTTGTGCATTTCCACTGCAACCTCCTCCCCAAATTCAGATGTTGCAAGAGGTTTCGAAGGAGATAACAGCTGATGTTACGACTTACATGTGCAAAACCATTGCCACAATTTACAGTCAAGAGAAGGGTAAAGGGAAGGATTTGTATCAAAGAACTAAATGTATTGGTATATGAGATTTTGGTCATTTACAACAGTATGTATTTAGGTATATAACAAGTTAAAACAGGGGACAAATTAGCAGGCGGCTCCTCACAGTCAATGCAATTAATGGGGAACACGAAAGGATACTTTAATCCAGCTCAGTGTCTGACAGGATCTGTGGTGGTGTCTACATCCACAGAGCAGGAGCAAGTGTTGCCAGATTGGGTGGAGACATGATACTATACGGAGTGAGGGGGGCAGGTGCACGACACAAAACTGAGTGTGATCAAAAGTTGTAGCAGCAGCAAAAAAAGTACTTTGTTAAATTGTGCTAAAACTACCTTAAAACGCACAATTGCAACAATTCGTGTCAAACACCGTGATCATAACTCAGGCAAACGAAACACACGAACATTACAGACATACTGTTAATTGATTTCCCCTTTGCCGATCGAATTGCCTCCCATGTTTGGTAAAATTAAATGCAAAGGATGCACCTCATAACTGCAGAACCTGCCTCACGATCAACTCTTTTTAATTTTGACTTCAGGCTCTCAGTAATGAGCTGACAGCTGAAGGCACACTCAATGTAACATAGCAACCAGGGACTGCTAACAGCTAATTCGGGGGGTTTCAATCCCCCTGAAAAACGTAAACAAACACAGGTTTGATCGTGGATTCTTTCAAATGGGCAACTTCTCAAGTCAGGCGAGTCTGGCAACGTGAGCAGCTGCGGTGACATTTCTCCGCTGGCGCAACGTGAACCTGACAGATGAGCTGTCACACACCGCAGCACCGTGACCTGAGCCCGGCTGCTGGCTGCGAGACTCCAGTAAAACAAACAGTCGCTCCGCCAGCTAGCTTAGCGCTGCCCCCCCCACCCCGCACACACTCAGTGCGGTGGAGGCGATGCTAGCTCCCTCTCACCTGACAGGTTCCGTCTCTTGCCCGCGCTGCCGCCATTTTCATCGCGGGACCCACGCGTCTCCGCGGACCCGTCGGTCGTCGTGCTCTTCTCGGCCGCGGCAGCCCTACCGTCCCGCTCCCTGTCCTCCTTCTCCTCTCCTGGACCAGTCGACAGCGACTCCGCCATCTTCTCCGAACGGTCTCAGCTGCTTCTGGAGGGAGAGCTTCTTCTTCTTCTTCTTCTTCTTGTAGTAGTTGTAGTAGTGTTTGTCGGCAGTTGGCAAACCAGCTTAAAGGCGCATTACCGCCACCTTCTGGACTGGAGTGTGGATCAGTGGATTGGCAGTAAACAAAAAACGAAAAACCAAAAAGAGACGCACTGACGAGGGTGTTGCTAAAAAGAATAATATTAATATATATAATATTTATAATAGCTGATTAATTTCTGATGAATACGACAATAATAATCCTTGGTAAATAGATAGATGAATGGACTACATTGTTGTTTTATGTACATAAGCAGTGCACCAATTACACCAAGGCAATTTCCTGTATGTGCAAACATACCTGGCAAATAAAAGAATTCTGATTCTGATTCTGATTCTGATAGATAGGTAGATAGATAGATGAATGGATGGATAGGTAGATAGATAGATAGATAGATAGATAGATAGATAGATAGATAGATAGATAGATAGATAGATAGATAGATGGATAGATGCACAGAGAGTAGTAGCAGTAAAACAGATACGATTAATTAAAATAGCTCAAAATAAAATGTAATAAACATAAAATGTCCTAAAAACTGTGCATACTCCCTTAGTAAATGATACACAATAAAGTACTAAATATGTATAGAACATATAATAACCCTATAAACAGACAAAATACATGAAATGACAAACTATGAACAAGAGACAAGTGTGCAAAGTTGCAGTAGCTGTTTGCATTTAAAGACAATGTAATGAGTTAGGTAGGAATGTGACATAGAAAATAAAATGTGAATATGAGACATGCACAGTTAATGGTTGGATGTAGTCTGCCACACAGTGAAGTGAACTTCATGACCCTGTGTATGAACCAGGGTACATACCGTACACAGGGAACATAGGCGGGGCAAGAACAGGATTCAACAGGGCCCCACAGCTCATACTGTATTTGGCACAAGCTCCATTACATACGACCAAATTAACTTGCTCTTTAGCAAAGATGAGTGATCAGACCCCTCTCTGAACATTGTGTTTTTTTCCCGTGTTGGGATGTCCAATCTTGTGCTTTGGATCAGTTATCATTATCATCTTAAAAATACATTTTGGCAGAGGGGTCTTTCTCAAGGCAGTGTCTCAAGATCAGGAGACAATGTAAGATCTTTGTCATGTGTGGAGCCCATTCCCTCATTCACAATCAAACTCACAATAAAAGCCTTGTTTGCAGGTCAAAATAGCTTTATTGTCATTGTTTTTTAAAAGACTGTACATTTATACTTTATGTTCAGGTTTATTGTGTGTATATTGTATTGCACATTCAGCGACTAATGTAAACTTGCAGATATACTATTGTCCATCCATGATCTATACCGCTTATCCTTTGAGTGGGGGGGCTGGAGCCGATCCCTGGTGACAAATGGGTGAGAGGCCTATTGTGCTTTCTATAAATAATATAGTGGATGGTAAAGTAGGCTATATCACAAAATAATTAGATATACTCAAGTACAGGTAGCTCACAATTGTATACATTTTGAGTAAATTTATTTTAAAGCACTAATATGCACAAGACAGAACCAATATAGACTAAGTAGGCTAGGTGTATCATGCATGGAGCAGGATATGAGATTTAGGACCACAAGGCCTAAACACTGAATGCTAAACTGATTGCTTAAAAGTGTGTGTGTTAAAATGAACCATATGTCATTCTAACACAATTAATTTTTCTTACACGATTTCACCAATTAGATGTTACTTTTCCAGATCCAAATAGCAAGTCTCAAAGATTAATTCAGCCCGTGTGTGTTGTATTTTAATGAGTGTTGCTTGGTTTTTACTTCAATTCAATCGAAGGCATAGATGTCCCACCTCCTCCAAAACATAATAATAAGATAGGCCTATCAGCTGTCAGTAAAAGATGATAGACCTGTCAAGTTTGTCAACATCTGAACCTAACCAATCACAGCAGCGTAGCAGCAAACTTGCTACCTATTCTTTGGAGCAAGCAAAATAAAATTCTGTCTTAACTTATTACAAATGTTTGAATACACACCAAAAATGAAGGGTGTAAATATTTTATACATCGCACATATTTCATGATCACTAAAAGTACTTCCTGGTTATCTACCCAGGGACACATGTAGGTATGAAGAGAGGTTAGCTAATAGAAGAGAACATATTTGTGATTAAGAAGTGTTATGGAAGTTTTCTGGAAACTGGTGAAGCAGCTGATGTCTTATGCAGAAGATTTGAATGTAGACTTGATGCATCAAGGAGACCAGTAGGTGGAACAATATAGAAAGACTAAGACAGTAACATGAGCAACTGTCGCCCCCAAGTCTGACGATGTCTCACACAGCATCCCCATATATCTTCCTCTGCTTGTGTCAGCCATTCTAACAGCACATCCATGAATGGCTAGAATAACTGCCACTCTCTAAGATACATGTTCACATCCTATTGGATAGTTAAGTCTAAATATTCATTCATAAACCACATTGCATTCTTACGTCTTGCCACTCGTGTAATTCGCAAAATAGTTGAAGTTGGTTTCTTCTCTGTCTGGGGCATCTGTGTTAGATATGAAACTCTCTAAGCGTAGACAATAGAATGCTCTGTTGGTTGGTCCTTTATTATAACCTGATCTTGGGTACTGCTTAAAAGAGAGAAGGGAGTATTAGAAATTAGCCTAGCACTATTCTCTTAATGGAGTATAGATATAATGTAATATACAATATATATACATAATACGGTATATTGATATATACAGTAATGTGTGAGGATATACAAAAATCCTCAACAAAGGACTAAAAAATTTAACAAGACAGAGCCCCATTTATATCAATGAGATCAGACTTAATACAGGAAACAATCCCAGTATAATGCACCACAAACATCAGTGACCATAAAGTTGATTGGTGCCTCAAACAAGGTTTTATTTTAATCTTCATCATGTGTTATGCTGTCAGCTCGATCAGGCTGCACTGAGACACATGGTGCCATGAGCTTGATGCTTATGTTAGGATGCTAATATGCTCACAACATAAGCCACCAGCCACCAGTTACTCCTACATTGGCCAACTATCCTGCTAAAACTTGACATGAGGACAGTGTAACTTATCATTCTGAAACAATCGTGACGAATATGTCCCTGGTCTTCTACAGCTGTATCCAAACATAACATAACATGACATAACGTGACCGTCAGCTGTGGTCATCGCCATTTGTGTTTACTCAAAGTGTAGTCGGCCAATCAGAGGGCAACAGTGTGACATCAAAGGCACCTGCCTTTAAAGTGTTTGCAACAAAGCCACCTGCCTTTAAACTGTGTGGCAGCTTCTGTCTTCACAGTTTCTGTTGACCCCAAAAGTGCCACTACGAGCTACCGCTGCCACAATTTGTGCTTGCCGTTGCTAGTTTTGTGTAAATCTGCCCTGTTTTGGCTCCTTACACATCAAACTTAAATTAACCTGACACGTAACACGCTGTTTTTAGTTCGCTTTCCTACCAGGCCCGTGGGTTTTTATTTGTTTCCCTCTTTGCTGAATTGGCCTTTGAAAATGTCGTGTGTACACTATAGGTTTTTTTCCAAACGGGAGTCCCGTTTAGTCAAGTTCGATGGGCTGCATATCACCCTCAAAAGACTGAAAAGGCAAATCATGGCCCAGGAGCGCTTCAAGGACAGAAAAAGTCACCTGCTGATCTCCAATGGGGAAACTCATGAAGGTATGTTGTCAGCTGACGAGTTAATATGTGTATACATCAGCATGTGGAAGTGTTTAAGTCCCAGTTGTACACCTTTGTATAGTGTGGCTGTGACTGACAACAGTCAACTATAAATCATTTTCTAATTAGGAATAAACCTTCCTCTTGTGTGAACTCTCAGGTTAGACCTGCACTCCTGTATTTTAACGCTGGTGCCAGGGATGTAGCCATATTGGCATCAACATCATGAATTTTCATAACCGTTACAATTGTAAAAGTATGCTATCTAACTATGGTGTCCTGCCTCT